AAATAATGAGTTAATGAAGTTGACATTAAAAAGATGCTTGATTTTCTGATTGACAATATTTATGTGTTTTTTTAGAGTCCAGGTCTTCCAACAATCTATTGGAATTCCCATGGGTACATATTGCGCCCCGTTTTAGCAGACCTATTTTGATTTTATACGAAGCAGAATTTGTGCAAAAGCTTATACACGATAAGAGGAAAACATTTGCTGTGGCCTTAATCTCGACATTTAGATACATGTATGTATATCGAGGACGTAATGGAATATAAAATAACGATATCGTACAGCAAAAACGTTATTTCCCGATTTATGAAAATAAAACATAAGGAGACATCCAACAGTATTCAAGATGAAACGTCAGTAAAACAATACAAAACAGAAGCAGAGCAAAATCGGACCTCCAAAACATCAGAAATGGGATCAGGTGCCATGAAGGAGTGAGCATCCCCTGCCTACCGGTCACACCCGACTTGTGCTCTTTGTCATGAATGGGAAATAATCCGTCATCAATTCAGTGTGAATGTCTCAATGAACACTGTATTTGCTGACAAAGTCATGATGTAAACTATGAAACGTAGGAAATGATTAATTTAAACGAGACTGCTGTTATTTTTGTTTCATCATCTTATTTGTCAAAAAATTACCGTGTTGTTTGCTCTGCTCCTATTTAGTAAAATTTAATGAACTTTTGACCTTAAAAACACTCCTTTATATTTCATATATGAATACTTATTCTTCGTTTTATATAATGATAAACGTCATGACTTTAACTATGCTATCGTCGACTTCCATTACATATGCAGCGATATACCTTCATCACCTGCATATGGAGTTTATATATCTCAGTTGATTCGATACGGAAGAGCTTTATTAGAAATTGAATCAAGTTCGTACCGTCGACCGGCAATAACATTTGATGTTAAACAAAATTATAAGATATATATCTTAGATACCTTAAAAATGTGAAAAATGTAATAATAATAAAATATTTATTTGATCATTTAATTAGTGATTTAACCAATGCTTGCAATCAGCTTGTATTGTTGTAAGAACACGGTTTTAAAGTAAACGCATTAATCCTTTGTTTATGTAATATACTAAAAAAATCAACACCAAGTAAATAATTAGCTAAAAGTAATTACTTTAAATTTTTCTAAATCAGATAATTATACTGCGTGGTATAAATTTGTAGGAGTAATCACTGTAGAATTTAGTTAGACGATCAATTAATCTGGAACATACGAACTAAAGAATCTTTTTGAATTAAAAAAAAATGCATTTTATTTTACATGCAGACACTTCATATACTCTGTAAAATATTCTGCTTGCCGCTTCACAGGTGAGTGATATCCTAAATGTCGGATCTACCAAGTAGATACAAGGTCACGGATGGAAATTTATATAAAGCGCTAAAAATGACCAACGACACGAACAATAAAAATTGTCAAATTTTCGGGACGCCCTGTCCCTTCCTCAGGACAAAGAAAAAAGTTAAAAAGTCATAAGAACAAAGGAAAAAGAGAAACAAAAAGAACTAGCACTACTACTAAACTACTAAACACTATATATTTACATACTTAATTACATGTTGAATTTGAATTTTTTTAGAACACTAATAAAGAAAGAAATCCGGACCGCTATGAAATGCGTCCGGTCTATCGGGTATACTCGGGTGAAGTGCGATTTACATAATTGAACGAATTAATTATGCTAATTAATTACGACAATCAGTAAATCGTACATTGTTTCATTCTCTCAAAATGGCGTAACTTTACTTAATAAAGAATAATCATTATGAAAGAAAAATCATATAGTAGGGATATTTAAACATATGAATTGTGATCAATTATAAATTTTGAAATATTTAAGGACTTATAATCGGGAAAAAATAATTAACAAAGGCGTAAGCAATACATAATTATGTGGTTGTTCGAGAGTTGATGACGCAAATTAACTGTAGAGTTAACACTAAATTGAGAGAATAATTTTGTTTTGTATGATCAGAAATTGGGTCTAATTTACGTTCATTCTGGTGAAGTCATTCAATTTGTTAATACCATTTGGGCGGAATGACTTCAATCTGTGCATCGAGAGCTTTTCTTTGCTTTTCCTCTGAGCATCTGTCCATCTTGGGTTATGGTCAATCACCACTACTTTCATGTCCTCCCATTTGTGACCCTCAAGGTTGAAATGTTCCCCAACGGGTTCATTGAGTTTTTTGGTCCTAATGGTCGAACGGTGGTTATTGACACTCCTACGGAGATCTCCTGTTTCACCAATATACTGTTTGGAGAAAACTTTGCAACTGATGAGATAAATGCAGTTGTCAGTATGACAGGACAAATTCCCTAGTATTTTGTAGCTGCGGCCTGTAACAGGGCTGTTAAAACTGTCTGTGCCAGTGCTGTGCTTACAAAGAAGACATCTCCTGTCAGAGCAAGTTTTAAAGCCCCCATTAGGTAACGGGTTGTCCAGTCTGGTTCTTACTACCATGTCCTTTAGATTCCTTGGGCGTCTGTATGCAGCCAATGGGGGTTCCTTAAAGACCTCTGCCATTCGTTTGTTTGAATGGAGAATTGGTAGGTTCTTTTGGAGGATACCGCTAAGGTTCTTAAGGACGGGATGATATGTGGTTACCAGTGGGACCATGTCGCTATTGTCTTTTTCCTTGTAGCGTAATAGGTTTTGCCTGTCATGTTCCGACATCTCATCAATAGCTGTTTGTACGGTGCGGGCATTGTAGCCTCTTTTGCATAAGTGGGACTTAAGAAGACCACTTTGCTCCTGATATAAGGCAGGGGACGAACAGATGCGTCGAATTCTGGTGGCTAGACCCGTAGGCACTCCCTTAAAAGTGTGTGGGGGATGACAGCTAGTGGGCATAAGATATAGGTGGGAGTCTGTGGGTTTGGTGTGGAGACTGAATTCGATTTTACCATCAATCATGGTAGATGTAGTATCTAGGAATATGTTTTTTGAATTAGATACGTCTACTGTAAATTTGATCGACTGATGAAAGGTGTTGGCAAACGTAATGAATGCCTCGAGGCTCTTGCGACATTCCACCCACTTCATCTCTATATCGTCAATGAAACGCAACCAGCTATGGGGCCTAAATGGTGCTTGAAGTAACAAATTGCGTTCCAGTCTGCCCATGAAGACATTGGCATAAGACGGTGCTATATTCGTACCCATAGCAGTGCCATTAACTTGCAGATAATGTTCTCCATTAAACATCTATTGATGAGATAGCGGAACATGACAGGCAAAACCTATTACGCTACAAGGAAAAAGACAATAGCGACAGGGTCCCACTGGTAACCATATACCATCCCGTCCTTAAGAACCTTAGCGGTATCCTCCAAAAGAACCTACCAATTCTCCATTCAAACAAACGAATGGCAGAGGTCTTTAAGGAACCCCCATTGGCTGCATACAGACGCCTAAGGAATCTAAAGGACATGGTAGTAAGAACCAGACTGGACAACCTGTTACCTAATGGGGGCTTTAAAACTTGCTCTGACAGGAGATGTCTTCTTTGTAAGCACAGCACTGGCACAGACAGTTTTAACAGCCCTGTTACAGGCCGCAGCTACAAAATACTAGGGAATTTGTCCTGTCATACTGACAACTGCATTTATCTCATCAGTTGCAAAGTTTTCTCCAAACAGTATATTGGTGAAACAGGAGATCTCCGTAGGAGAGTCAATAACCACCGTTCGACCATTAGGACCAAAAAACTCAATGAACCCGTTGGGGAACATTTCAACCTTGAGGGTCACAAATGGGAGGACATGACAGTAGTGGTGATTGACCATAACCCAAGATGGACAGATGCTCAGAGGAAAAGCAAAGAAAAGTTCTGGATGCACAGATTGAAGTCATTCCGCCCAAATGGTATTAACAAATTGAATGACTTCACCAGAATGAACGTAAATTAGACCCAATTCCTGATCATACAAAACAAAATTATTCTCTCAATTTAGTGTAAACTCTACAGTTAATTTGCGTCACCAACTCTCGAACAACCACATAACTATGTATTGCTTACGCCTTTGTTAATTATTTTTTCCCGATAATAAGTCCTTAAATATTTCAAAATTTATAATTGATCACAATTCATATGTTTAAATATCCCTACTATATAATTTTTCTTTCATAATGATTATTCTTTATTAAGTAAAGTTACGCCATTTTGAGAGAATGAAACAATGTACGATTTACTGATTGTCGTAATTAATTAGCATAATTAATTCGTTCAATTATATAAATCGCACTTCACCCGAGTATACCCGATAGACCGGACGCATTTCATAGCGGTCCGGATTTCTTTCTTTATTAGTGTTCTAAAAAAATTCAAATTCAACATGTAATTAAGTATGTAAATATATAGTGTTTTAGTAGTAGTGCTAGTTGTTTTGTTTCTCTTTTTCCTTTGTTCTTATGACTTTTTAACTTTTTTCTTTGTCCTGAGGAAGGGACAGGGCGTCCGGAAAATTTGACAATTTTTATTGTTCGTGTCGTTGGTCATTTTTAGTGCTTTATATATATATAGATATAGATATATATATATATATATATATATATATATATATATATATATATATATATATATATATATAATAATGAAAGGCGTATTTGTTTTATCGAATACTCGAATATATTAGAATACTCCTAGTGAATATTTGAATATCAGCAGTTGACAATTTTGAACATTCCTAGTTTGTTGACGTCACAATTCATATTTTTCTCCCAATTCTGATAATACATAGATAAGTTTGTTTTTTACATTGTGCATATTTGATACTTTATCTTTTAACAAAACACATTAGGAACATTAATGTACCATTTTCATTTAATTTGCTCCGCCCCTTTTAAATACTATAAATGGTTTTAAGGTTGTTCATATTTATTAAGACACATGCTACTCTGTACTCGCTGTCTCCGCTCTTTAATGTTAATTTTTTTTTAAAAACATACTCCAGGTTCCTCAATCAATAATGGCGTGTGTGAAAGTCTTATGCATGTTAACTGGAATTATATTTTCTCGTGGCTATGGTTTGTGTTTATTTATCTGTGTTTTAAATATAAAAGTATTGAAAGATTTTGCTGTTTCTAAAGTTCCTGGTATAAATTTTTATTCATACAGACGATCTCTCTAGAAATAAACCTGCCACACAGATATCAACTTTTCCATGTAAAGGATGCGCTGATGGATCATACAATGCCGAACTGGCTGTTGACAATAACCTGCAAACATGCACTAGGAATGTGTTTCCAGATTGGACTGAATGGTGGATGGTGGATCTTCAGGAAGCACAATCCATATATGCGATTAAATTTGTCTTTAAAGACTATGGTGATACTTACCGTATGTAAAAAGAATTGAACATGGTATTTATACACGTCATTTATAACTTTATTACAAGAACAGTTCTGGTAATTATTAAACTAATGTCTTACTCTTTTATGTAATTATGTTTTCAAGGGAAACGACAAGAGGAGCGTTTATCAGGATATTCTATTTATGTCTCAGATACAAAGGAAATAAAAAGTGGGGAACTGTGCTTCAAACATAACGGAACCTATTTACCATCGCTTACAGCGGTACATATCTGCCCCTCGTTCGGACGATATGTCCAATTTGTTAATAACTTTAAGTACATAGAACTCTGTGATTTCACTGTCTTAGGTAAGTGAAATTTAAAGATTAGGTGCTAAAAGAGTGATATTTTTAAAGGCCTTAACTATGTTAATGTTCGGTATTTAAATTTTGATGAATTAGGGAAACTGACATAGGATGCAGAAATGTTAATTAGACGAATATCTAATATGTATTCATATATATACATACATTTCACATTAAAAACAAATATTTGCAAGAAACGAGAATTTAAATTAAAAGTTAAAAGATAATTAGAGTTTATAGGGTTCATTTAATTCACTTTATTTATTTAATAGTCATTCCCTTTGAGAAACGATTTATATAATCTCCTATTTCAATACTCTTACAAATGGATTTAAAGCTCATTTATATAAAATGATTTGTCTATAGTAAACACCAATATACATAAACTGCTATTGCAAAAATTATTAAATGTAAATTATTTTAGAGGTTCTGATAAGTTAGTAGGTATTTTTTCATATATATTATTGAAAATTTAAAATAAATATTCAAAGAGAAAATACAATTAATTCCACTAACTGCAATTATTCAGAAAGAAATGGATCGCTTTCTTAGACAACATTATACATTATTTGCATCATAACTTTTCTGAGATTTAAGGTAATGCAAATGGCAATAATAAGGAAGAATTTAAATTTTGACCATAAATAAAAATGTGATTTTATGCCAAATATAATTATGTCATGCACGCTCCTAGTTTGCGGAAGACATATTTAAAATTATTAACTATTATCAAATATCATTTAACATTTGCAGAATCAATTTATGATAAAAAAAATTTGACTTATCTTAATTCATTGTATTACATGTATCTTATGCATCTACAAACAGCAAATGATGAACTATTTTGTAAGTTCTTGCAAAAGAAAAAAAAAACCCACTGAAACAATCATTTTACGTAAGGGCTATAAAAAGTTATTAACACATTTGACAAAAAAGATACAGGAATCATTCATTAAATAAATTAAAAGTTTGGTGTTACATTTTTTTAAACTTGAAATACGTAGTTAGGCTCAAAAGTCCATTCATTCGGAAAAATACGAATTAGAAGCCGAGCAAAATCGGTCCTTTAAAAATCAATGGAGGAATAAGTGGTATGGGGGAGAAAAACCCCTGTTGGTTCGTTGCATTTAATAAGTGAAAAGGGACGGACAAAATAGTAAAATATAGTTAATTGAATTTATTGTTTATAAATATATCTGCGTTATATTTTACATAGGTTGTAGAAGGGGTCACTACGGTGCTGTTTGTAACCTTTTGTGTCCACAACATTGTAAGAATTACCAATGCTTTGTCACTAACGGGACATGTCTTAGATGTGACAATGGCTGGAATGGCTTTTCGTGCAACCAAGGTAGGATATGTTGAGGATGGCCGAAGAATTAAATCTCAATCTAAACTGTCATTAGTATACATGTACACTAGGCTCTAATCTAGTTTGATTCATGGACAATAGAATTTATACAGACAACTTAAATGAAAGGATGTATTAAATTTATCAGCATATTTGGTGCAATAGAAGATGGACTTAAAATTCACATTTCAGTCAATTAGAATTTTTAAGTGTGATGGTTCAAGAAATCTGTTTAACAAAGTCTTTTTTATATTATCCTGTCACACAATTAAACCGATTTTATTCTAGTGCTTGAGACCAGACTCGGTATTATTCGAATTGCATTTCAATATTTAACTTCATGACCTTGATCTTGAATTTTGTTGCAGTTTCAATAAACTTTAATCGCTATCATAACTTTTCTTAATATTATAATTAATGTCTTTTTGTAAAATTACAAAGAAGGCAATAAACACAAACAAGACAATTACAGTATACCATAAATAATTTCATAATTTTCAGTAAAAAATGAAAACGGAGTACTTTAATATTTTGCATTTTCTTGTTTACTCTCCATCCTAATCTATATTAACGTTATTTCTCTTTTATCGCGAGCAAGATTCATTAAGAGAACATTCTCTCAAGAACTTAAGTTCAGATGAGTGACCACTTTAGATTAACTGAAATATTTTATAGGAAATCATAACCTATCCAGGTACATGTATATTTAAATGAAAATTGTCATTAAATAGTTTGCTTAACGATCTATTTGTAGGACACTTCGTATCAAATCGTTACTAACATAAAAAGAGTAAAGTTCGAAATATTCCTTTTGCTTGTTCATTATAATTTGTATAACAGGCCAAAACTTTCTGTGCTCATCCCATTTTGCAGCATGTTTAGTCGGAATGTATGGTCCAGATTGTTCATTATCCTGCTCTGGTCATTGTAAGAGCAAGTCTTCTTGCAACCCAATCAATGGTATTTGCTCAGATGGATGTGCTGAAGGTTGGATGGATGTGCTTTGCAATAAAAGTAAGAAAGATAAAGGCAGAGATTTTTTTTTACCGGGTGGTAAATTCCAGTTGAGGGAGGGGCTGAACATTGGCAGGTGTTAATCCTTTGAGGGTTAGCAGTCTACCTGTGGCTGTTTTTCTTCCAAACCCTATACACAGAAAGTGATTTAATACACAGTGGAATACTCTAGATGTCATACTTTACCTGTGTTGGGAATTTTGTGAAAATTTTACATTAGAGCTTCAAAGTTTTAAAGGTACTTGGACACATATTTGAAGTCAATATTTTCTCTATAATATTACGACTTATACATTTTAATAGCATTTTACACAAAAATTAGTTAAAAATCTTATTTCAGTTAAGAGATATTTGAATTTCAATTTTTTTGGCGGGTTTGATTGACACATCCTCTCACTATCACAAATTAATTTTATTCTTAATCCTCAGGAAAAGTGGCAATCTCGTTGTGTATAAATGAAAAATATTCACACTATAATCCTGAAAATTCAGAATAGACATGTTCGAAAGCAAAACAAACACGCAATATATTGTCAGTCCGTGCAGTTGTGGTAAGCAGACTGTGACGTTTGAACGCATCCAGTGAATTATAAACATAAGCAATAACAGAACCCCTGCCCTGTTCATAAAAACTGTGTACATAACACGAGTGTGCTCGATTTGCTAAACTCTGTACGCAACTCTTAGTTCGGAATGACAATACTTGTGAAGGAGTTTTGCTTTCTCACATTTCTACTCTGAATAAAATTATTTTTCTGAATTAAAGTTTTAATATTTCTCATTAATAGACAACAAGATTGCCACTTTTCCAAAGGATTAAGAATAAGGTTAAAATTTGTGAAAGTGCAAGGATGTGTCAATAAAATCCGTAAAAAAATTTAAAGTTTTAATAACTTTTAAATAAAATAAGATTTTTAATTAATTTTTGTGTGAAATGCCATTAAAATATATAAGTCGTAATATTATAGAGGAAATAGTGACTTCAAATTTGTGTCCAAGTACCTTTAATGAAAAAAGAGCTGTGTTAACTACATTTAAAAAATATTTACGTTAATTCAAATCTTTAGACGGCTTAGTACATGTAACTATGAAACAAGCAAAACAAACTTAATTCAATTACGACACACAATGGTGCTCTTATCTTAATCAATAACATTTCCACTTTTTGTTAGCATATTAAAATTAATATGAAAATTCCATTAAAAAATCTATATATACTAAAGTTTTAAAACATGTATTTTATCATGAAGAATAGTATAATCGATTCAAATACTAATGGTGTTTTTATTAAGCTAAAATGTTAATAGTAATATAGTTTAGCACTACCATCTGAACATCAAAGGATCAAAAGTTCGTTTTAAGGTCCCCACGAGTGCCAGATAAGGTGCAAAGGGTATACACCCGAGGGAATAGTAAGTATATGTAAGTAGACGTCAATCAAACTCTAACATCCAATGATGGACCTTCATGCACTTGATTGTCAGAGCTACACAGACCAGGTATATTTTAAGGCGGTGCTTAAAATACATTCATTAAAACTGTTTATCTCGATTTTCTATGTAATTTGTTTATAGACAATTTCCTACAGGCATCCTCAAATATCTAATAAAAATGAAGCCTACAAATCAACAGTGTGCTGGTATTCTTTTCGACAGGCTGTGTCTCCGGTACCTTTAGACCGAACTGTAAAAACAACTGTAGTGGGAATTGCTATAACGATTTAATCTGCAATAGCACAACAGGAAGATGTGACAAAGGCTGTAAGCCAGGGTACCAGGGAGAACTTTGCAATAATAGTAATTTTACCTTATTCTGAGCTGTAAGTTCAAGTGAGCTCACAATACCTTGTCCTGCGTCCATCTGTCTGCAAATATGGAGACCTGTCTAGACCTTTGCACGTTTTCAGCATCTTCCTCAAAACAACTGAGGCAACATGCAATCACGTAGTAAAGTTTTATACATATGTAGTATAACATAAGATAAAGAACAGTCTAATGGTGATAATTAATTCTATTAATATGCAAGCAAATGCACTTAGAGCAGGTGCAAGATGGTTGGAAATAAAATGGAATCACAGCATTGGGAAAGGTCAAGTGAAATAGTAAACAAAATTTTAAAAAAGTTATTGCCCTTGTGAGCTTTCTTTCCTTATATTTGTCACAGAAACTTGTAGACAGTACACTCTCTCAAAATCTACTAAGCTGTGGATATTTTTAGGCTTATTTTACAAATTATATCATTTTTCTAAAGCTTACATCTGTGTATTTAAATCAAATGAGGAATATGTCATATTAGACTATCTTGAGAAACCTGTATCAAATATCGGTGAAAATACTGTTAACTCGGATAATGTATTGTTAGCTTGCAGGCATGGCTATTTTGGACCAAATTGTTCGAGGAAATGCAATCCATTCTGTATAAACAAGTGTCAAAATGTCAATGGACACTGTCTTTCTGGGTGCATCAGCGGTTACGAAGGTTCAACATGTGAAAAAAGTATGAATTTAATTTGTGCTGTATGAATATTCTTATCTTTGGAATTTTGTTGCTAATAGAATTAACCTCATTGAATATAAAATTAGAGTGCAGCAGTGGATGGTATGGTCACAATTGCTCCATGGGGTGTAACAACTGTGTGAATCAAACTTGTAATCATATCACGGGCAGCTGCCAATATGGATGTAAACCAGGCTGGAGAGGTTCAAAATGTTCTCTAGGTAATATAATTATATACACATGTATATATAATGTGATATCTAAAAGAAAGTACATGTATTTTCATGTAGAGTATGCATGGAGTAAAATATACATATCTTTCTTTCTAAATTTTTGTGATATTAATGACTATCCCCTTTTTATTCATATATTCAACAGTGTGTACCGTGGACACATATGGATCAGATTGTATGTTTTCTTGTAGCCAAAACTGCATTAATAAGGAACCTTGTGACCACGTAACTGGAATTTGTGAAAATGGTTGTTCAGATGGATATAAAGGAGGGCAGTGCAATTTAAGTAAGATGAGACAATCATTCGTGTAAATTTCACTTTTTATAGGTATATATACATCTTTGTTGCTTTGATTGTTGATATAAATTATTCCTGGGATTTTTCCCCTTATTGTATTTTGAATTAAACATACAGTCAAGAAAACTATAATAGTAATTTAAAATAATGCACAAAGGTGCTTATCATCATCTTTTTATGGTTTCCTTTTCATATGTTCATCTCATATTAACTTGAGTTGAAAATCCCGTACATGTATGCCCTGTTCACACGGAGAGTTTAATTCGAATTAAACGTAAAGTTACTGCGAATTAGCTTCGCTTAGCGTTCACACGGAGAATTTAACGCGAATTAGTTTAATTCCGCAGCACTGTTAAGGCTAGAAAAAGGGGGCAGGGCCTAATTTATACGGGAAAAGTTAACTGTGACGTCACACCAAAAATATGACTTTTATGCATTCCTTATATTACCCGAAAATTAAATAACTTGCAAATTTAAACTGTAATAGCATAATAAATAACAATAAAACTTATCAATGCATTAACAAAAGCCGCTAGTTAAATCCCATGCAGCTGGTTTTAAACAAATCACCGATCTCGATGAACGTGTCAATCATGACGTCATTTTGGTAAAAATGACGTATTTCATGTGCTGTGAGAGGCAGATTTGGGAATTTTTTAACAATGAAAAATGCGTCTTATTATAAAACAGAATATTATTTACATGTTTTTAATAGGCTTATAATACCAATGTATTTTATTTGTTTGGTGCGATTATTCATTTACTATCGAGAGAATTTATTTAGATAATTCTGTCGTGTTTTTATGTTCAGGTTAGGTATATTTTACATCGATGTGCCTCATTAATTTTTTGAATATAAATAGAGGATATGTTCCTTAACTTGAAAAGTGCTGCTGCTTGCATGACTTTATAAGTACACAAAATATTTCGTAAAAGTCAAACATATTTCGACATTGGCCTATTTACTTGAAATTTTAACTATTAAAACGCGGATTCTATTCAAAGCAGCAGCACTTTCCAGAAAGTACAAAATATGCAGAAACATTTAATAGCTTGAATTTTTAATTTCAACCAGGGTATGCCCTTGCGATATTGAAATCTTTTATTGACCTACATGCCGTGTACCTACTATGCATTCACAACGTGACTGTCCATCGATGGGACTAAACTCCATACAGTTCAGAGTAGGTTATACTATGCTATTTTCATAAGTATTTAAGTTCTGTGATAATAGAACAGCTGAATAAAAATAAATTCAGTTTTAAAAACATTCCCGTTTTTGCCCTTCTGTTTTCGTTGATTTCTCGTAGTAAGCCTTAACAGTGCTGCGTCGAATTAGTTTTCTGCACATTAAATTACATTAAGTCCGTACCGTGTGAACGTTAAGCGAATCTAATTCGAATTATATTCTGACGCATGCGTAATGGCAAAATTTAGTCAAATGCCACTTGTCGGTGGTCAGCTATAGGTACTTGTGCTTTTTTGAGTGAAATAAGGAAACTTTTGTTTATCATTAAAATGTGTATACAGGCACTTTGCCATTATGTCAAATGGATCTGCTTCTGCATCAGGTGACGTGATTTGCAAATGACGTCATAATAGCCTGCTGACGCCGGGCTGCAAAAGTAAAATTTTAATTCACATTAGTTTTCTTCGCATTAGCTGTCGTGTGAACGGAATTTAATTTGCATTTATTTACTTAAGGAATGTTTTTAAGTTTTTGTGAGTTATTGGTGAGCGAATCACACAGACTTGTCACGTAGGCATATTTCATGAAGCGCGCTAGCGCTTCATGGAAATATGCCTACGTGCAAGTCTCTGTGATTCTCACACCAATAATTCACACTAAACTTAAAAACATTCCTTATATTTACATTTTACATGTTTGGAAGCACCGGAAATATACTCAATATTTGAATTTCTTGCTGCCCTTTATTGTTATACGTTTACTAACGTCGCTGTAGCCCTATTGTGACGTCGCGATAACGCACGTTTCGCCGTGTATATTTCTACGCGTGAGTTTACACGAAAATGATTTTCAAATCAATTTCACAGTTAGCTTAGTAGAAAAACAGCGAATGTAAATATTGCTAATTAAACTCTCCGTGTGAACAGTTTATTACTATAAAATATAATGTGTTAAAGGAATTTGTGTTAACATTTCATAAAGGCGAAAATACATAATTTATAATTGCATTTCCCTATGTATTTAAACCTTAAGATGTTATCTTACCAATTCCACCTTTACCTTTATATCTTTACTGATCATGAATTCAATAAAAAGACTGAAAAAAATATTTTATTTTATTATATGATTGAATAATTTCCAGCTCTCTGATTGGCTGAGATCCAACTATGTTAGAAAAATATTACGTCGTATTGACCTGCAGGTGACGTTCCAGGTCAATACAAGGATTTATTTCCTCTACATTGATCTAAAAATAGCTTTGGAAATTCCAAATTGATGCAAATTGTTTTAGAAAGCTATTCAAACGACTATGATTTTTATTTTCATGTGAACAAAACATAAGCGAATATATATTTTGGGTGAGGAGATAAGAGGGGATGCAGGGACCCCCCCCCCCAACACTTTTACTGAACAAGAATTTTTTTTTTACTTTTTGGCAGTCAGTTTTTCCTGATAATACTCCTTCCTTTCAAAATCTATCCTATAAAAAAGACTGACATTATATATTTCTTTCATGGCAACTAAAATTGATTTAAAAAAAAAAACATTATTATTCACATTTTAATTCTGCTTCTCTCTTGTATTTGGCTAGGACTTAATAAAATGCAAACAAGTAATGAGCTGTATCATTTTATCCTTGAATCATATAATAAAACAATTATTGCTGATTTTTTCGGTCAATACAATGATTTAGCCATCTTCGAAGTACAATATTCACCTCGCCCTTCGGGCTCGGTGAATATTGTACTCCTCAGATGGCTAAATCATTGTATTGACCTCAAAAACCAGCAATAATTGTATATTATTTTATGATTCACATTTCAAATGAAGCATTGAATTTAAAATATAAGATACAACTCTTATCATTTAACTTTTTCAGTCTGCGCAAATGGTTATTTCGGTGCAAATTGTTCAAAAATTTGCTCTGATAATTGTTCTGATATATGTAATCATGTTGATGGGACTTGTAACTGCAAAGCTAGAATGATGGATTCTCCAGAATGCATACAAGGTAATATTTGCGAAATTTTATATATTAAAAGCAAATGGGAAGAGCCAGATACCCTTTGTATAATTCATTAAAAGTACAATTTCAATATATAAGTGAAAAAGTACCCATCTTTTCTGTTACTTTTATTTATATAATTTGGTTTGAAAATCCTTGTATTCAATTCACATGACATTTCCTATCTTTTTATACAGTTTCATTATTGACTTCAATGGCTAGAAAATGTGATGATCACTGTTTTTATGCAATTGGAATATCTATATTAGTCATACTAAACGTTTTGACCTGTACATTATGGATTTGTGAAAGGTATTTTTTTTTCTTAACCATTGTTTAGTTATATAAAATATATATGTGCATTTTGAATTTTTAAAATATTTTTTTTCTATTTAGAAGAAGGAAAATGGAAGTGAGAAGACAGTCGTCATCTCATTACATAACAACTGAAGCAGAAATGAAAGAAAAGACTTCTGAATCACATGAATATCAAGAAGTGAATTCTGTATCACGAGATTTTTCGTACCAAAACCTCACATTTGATACCTGAAAATTTTGAAAATACAAGATTTGAGTAGGGGAGTTCGGAATCAGAGAGAGAGAGAGAGAGAGAGAGAGAGAGAGAGAGAGAGAGAGAGAGAGAGAGAGCTGCAATAATCCTTTTACGACGTTTATATCGTTCTTTCACTTTAAAAAAAATCTTTATTTTTAAAATTATTTGTTTAAAGTACAACATTGTGTACGTTTTTTTGTCAGCATGGGTCTAATTAGAAAAAAAAACCCATTAAAAATCTTTAAGAATTAGTTAATCTATACACTTCACAAAAGGTTTTAATGCAAATTGATATTATATAAAGTATATTTAACAACCTCCTGCTTATACAATAATTAGACAATATGATACTTCAGCGAATAGAAACATTTTTACACCCGGCATATATTCATTTTTTATCGTACTACTCCTTGTTGGAAAAAGAACAATAATCTTTTATCTTCAAAATAATATAAGAACTACTCTCAAATCTCACATCTGTCCTTGTATCTTAAGTTTGTATGTGTGTTTTACATTTTACAAAAGGAAAATGTACCCTAAAACACTACTGATGTGTTAAATAGGAAAAATAAATAAAAACATAAAGATGAATAGAGGTACAGTGTTTAATAAAAATGAGGAAATATTCCACTGACTAGACATTCAGTAGGCTTCTATGATCATTTCCGTGTATTTGAGAGGTCATGTAATAGGTAAAAGGGGATTACATCGATAAACAATATAAGGAATGAATAAATCCAATAACACTGTGTTTGATATATAAAGGAAAAATAAAAATGAGGATATATTTCACTGAAACGAAAATTATTAGTTATCTTACATGTACTTCCCTCGATTTCAGGATTTAAGCATTATAAGGAATAGTTAAAACCAGTAACAAAGTATAAGTTATCTGTACCTTTCTAGCCATTTGTTGAAAGGAATAAAAGGTAAAACCTACAAAAAAATATTTCCTGTCTTTATTATTGTATATTTACTACCTGTTGAAATGAATTTATTGATAGAAAAAGGAAATTTTACGGCAGAGTAAAAAAATGTAATATATTTTTTTTACCTTTTTCCTCAAATTAGTATAAACTAAACTTCTTGAACGTCAATGGAGACAAAGATGCATAAGACTGTTAAATGATTAAATGGCGTGGATTGTGTATAGGGCGGTTTCTTTCAGTATATGTATATATATATATATATATATATATATATATATATATATATATATATATATATATATATATATATATATATATATATATATATATATATATATATATATATATATATATATATGTATGTATTTATATATATATATATATAATGCAATGAATATTGAAATTTGTTGATAAAAACATAATTGTATTTTTATGATACACATATAACATTATTTGTGCTTCTAAGACCGCTTAGTTATTCCTTACAAGAAGTTAATGCGATTTGCCAATGTCCCTTTATTGCAAAAGACCTAGTACAAATGATATTGAATTCTAAAAGCATTTCTTTTTTTAATTATTGAACATTCACTCAGGTAGAAGAAACGTGTTACTTGTGTAGATATGAATTAAGAAAGTATCCTTTAAATATAACAGTACAAATAAATGATATTTCTATTTGATCTGGCTAATGCATAACTGTATTAAACAGTCAAATATATATAATTGTTTGTTGAAAAGAAAGTTGTACAATTCCATCGAACAGGAAAGGTCCTTTTGTGGATTTTCCTAGATCCAAGGTTATAGAAGAAAGTCAAGTCTTTTGATGAACCTTGGGCTACATTCGGGCAGACCATGAATCTCCTTGTACATCATTATGATGTCAGGAGTTGGTATTTGGTTAAGATTTTTGAAAACTTGCGAATACTCCGACCAATCTGTTGAAGCACCAAATACTTCAGCAAAATACCATGATATTATTCATGTTATTATGGAAAAAAGAGCAGAAAGCTTCGTCTCTATTTATAAATTTTCAAAGAAATCATACGAAAACAAGAGGACATGCATAGAGTATACAAAGAGAAAATGAATTTTGAAACTCATGTATTTAAAGGACAAAAAAGTGTGATCATGGTTGTTCTTGCGGGGAAGTTGATCTTTTCTAAACTATTATAAAACGACTTTTTACATGCAACAAACTTTCCAAGGATAATGCAAGCGCGATAACTCTTACACACAGAGCTTTCCAATGTACATAAAATATTTTAAGTACAACTTAGAATTCATTTATCCTTCGGTCTCCGTAGACATTAAAGCATTTCTACACTATTTAGTTTTCCTTTAATGATTATCACTTTCTTATTAGATTGTATTTTTTTCTTCACCCAGTCTAACAGGTTTCCCACGGAATTAGAATTCAGCAGGCATGCTTATGAAAATTTCCTAAGATGTGTCTTAAGACGTGTCTTAGGATATTTCTTAGGCCATATCTTAGGCATATCTTAAGATTATTTTAGGATGTAAAACGAAACCATCTTAGGAATATCCTAAGTTAAGATATCGTAAATTCCATCTTAGGCATTTTCTCTTTTTTCTTCTGAATGTTATCGCCTCTCCTCTTCTTAGTGGCTATAGCCTGGGTCATGAGGGAATCCACCAGGGCTAAGAAAACCGCATTAGATGGAGAATGGAAAACAAACTGGATGACTTGAATTATGCCGATGACCTATATCTCATTTCATCCGTCTATCGACAAATCCAGGAGAAAACAACCAAACACTATACAACATCTAAACGTCTAAGCATAAACATCAATTTTAACAAGACCAAAATAATGAGAATCAATGCACAGAATAACAACCCCGTACAAGTTAAGATGTAGACACCTTCGCATAAATGGACAGCATTGTAACAACATCAGGAGGTACTGACGCGGACATTATATCAAGAATCAATAAAGCCCGTCATGAGTTTGTCATTTAAAAGCCAGTCTGGACCTCCTCCTACATGACCATGACAAAGTTTATGATCTACAATAGTTATGTAAAATCAAAAATATTATTTGGATCAGAATGCTAGAAGCTCCAGAAAGACCTCGAAAGGAAACAGAGTTTTTGTAAATCGTTGCCTACGGTCCATATTTCAGATAATATGGCTAAAGGAAGTGCCCAACAACGAACTTTTAGAGACGATAGGACAGGAAGATATTGTGGCAGAAATTGTAAGAAGAAAGTGGAGATGGTTCGGACATGTGCTCAGAAAAAATACAGCATAACATCACAAGAGCATTTTTTGAACGGCCGACGGCAGGAGCAAAAGGGGCAGGCCAAACACAACAAGGCGAAGAACAGCAGAAAAAGAACAGAAAGGGATAGGACACTGACGTGGAAAGAAATAAAAAGAAAAGCAAAAGATAGGACAGGGTGGAGAGACTGTGTACCTACCTTATGTGTAATCTGGAACTAGAAGGCCAGAGTAAGTGAATCAGTTATTTTTTAGCCATCATCTCTGTTTTCCATTCCAAGCACATCCAAATAGTTGTCGTTTGAATTTATGCCTAATACTTTCATTTTAAAGCTGCTGTCTGGTTTTTCTTTTCGATAATGGAGTTACATTCAAATAAGTGATAATTGTAGTATTACCATAATTTTATCCTTCTCAACACACAATTTTCTTTTACCCATTTTACATCTTTTCAAACTTCTTGACAGGGGTATAAAGCATAATTAAGAACTGATGGCCACCGAAATCTGTTTTCAATGTTTACTGTTATGTAGTTTTCAGTCACAGCATCTTGACCTATATACATGTAATATATTAAGATTGATTTTCCCTACTAAATACTACTTGTTCATTTGTTGATAGACGTTAAATTACAACCAAATATTTCATTCAAACCGTAGTTTGAATGGTGACGTCATGAGCCTGAACCAATCAATCTCTCACAAACAAAGTTCCTTTGCTCTGTACAATCCTCGTCATCCCACTTATACTTTTTATAGCTTGCTAACGTAGCACAGTCTTGATTAAATAAATTGTCGGGATTTCCCCAGCTCCAGTTGGTAAACGTCAAAGCTTTCAATGACGATAGGTACACCCATTTGCCCTCCACAAAGGCATCAATCATCCCAAGCCGAATATCTACAGTAAAATGAAGGAAAATAATCATTTTTTTTTATTTATTTAGCATTTCTGTAACAGTGTGTGTTTGAAGAATATCATTTATGAGTTTTATGATATGTACTTAGTATTTTAAAACGGTTTAGCATATTGGATGTATTTAGAAGTGTTAATGGCACGATGCAGAAAGGTGTTAGTTAGCCGGAGTAAGCAACAACTGCATTACTAAGTCCACAAAAAACTAAGTAAACCAAGAACATGTTGTTGATTAATTAATTGTGCCTGATTTAACAATAATATCACTGCGATATGTATGTAATCGATATTCTATTTATAAAAATATATGTCTTAATAGATATTTCTCACTTCCACTCGCAATCACCGTATAGTAAGGCCATGGGTAGCCGCCACAAGAATACGAATTCCTTGTTTAGCGATCGCAAGATATTTTTTTTACTTGACTAGATGGCTTATCAGTTTAGTGTACTGTCTTTGCACTGCTTATGGACATATTTTATAGTTCGAGAGATAAACCTCGGGGTATACATGTCCGAGAAACAAAGTTCAACAATATCACCTATTCAGTATTTTTTTTTCTTTTATAAATTTCTTAAATTCGTGCTTCTTTTAATTTAGAAATACGTAACAATTTACTGTGTTTTAGTTTACATCATGAATTTAAAAAAAGCGTCATTTCTTATCGATAAAATTCACATTTTTCCAATCAATAATATTCAAAAGTTGTGCTTTCGTCATTTAATTTGGAAACAATGTTTTTTTAATATAATATATATACTATCAAGTTATATCGAATGTCTAATACAAGTACATATTAAACATTTATCAATTCTTTTAAAATAATTATAAATCCAAACTTTAGGGCAAATTGATGACATGAGAAATAGTCATTTATTTGGAATACGATGAATATAGAAAAGGACTGTTTAAAAGGACTGTTTTACCAATTCTTTCTTGTTTCGCAATGTTTGTCAAAAATGTGTTTTCTTCTGGAGTCTCTACCTCAACAAGCTTGCCAAACAGTGTCTCTTGAAAAAAAAAATAATTAAAGATAATCAGTACAGATTCATTTTCAAACAAAAATCATACATACAAGGTTTACAAGTACCTTCCAAGTCAACCTCGAAGTTGTTTGGACTTGCCATGATAATGCTATGATAAGCTTAGAAATGGTGCTTAAATATCCCCATCCACCCCTTTCCCCGGGATAGGCATAGGGCTCTTATAGACAACAAAGTTATTTTATCATTTATTATTATTATTATTATTATTTTTTTTTTTTTTGAAAACTTTCAGACATGAATGGATTGTAAAATTTGAAATTAAAAAGCAAGCAAATTAGCACATGTACTGTGTAGGAAAAATACGATTTTGCCAACACGAAAAGTGCAGCTTATCTCAATGTGTAGAATGAATTAGAAATATACTTTCAAAAATAGTAATTGAAATGTGTTAAAAATATATGTTTATTGTGCATGAAAATAGAGATGCCAAGACCTTGTTAATCTGATTTTTTTTTTTGTTTTCAGATATATATCTTGTAAGTGCAAATGCAAGGGCAGTAATTAAGACACAGTCCTTTGGAATGCAATGAAGTGTTGTAAGGAATGATAACTCTTGACTAATAAAAATCATCTGATAAATTCTCATGTGAAAATCAAATTTATGGAAATGATGCAAAGCAACGCTGAGAGTCATATTAAGATGGAATTATACTGTAAAATAACATACTTTGTTGGGTCAATTTTTTTATGTTAAAAAAACCTGTTCATTTGTGGGGATTTTCTTTTGAAAATCGGATAACGTGGATAAGTTATGGAATAATTATATGGAATTTTACATTTCGCAGTTAATGTGAATTCGGGTTAGTCTTCTAGCCTTGAATACAGCAAAGATTAAACCCCAACCCCTAGCAAGGAAAATGTGGAGATAACGAACATTCTCAAAGTCCGTAAAACAATACAAAATAGGAGCAGAGCAATCACGGTCCTCCGAAACTTCAGAGGTGGGATCAGATGCCATGCAGGAGTGAGCATCTCCTGCCGACCGGTCACACCCGCCGTGTGCTCCCTGTCAAGATCAGGAATTAATGGAAAAAAATCCGTCGTCAATTCAGTGTATTAATGATGAACTTACAATTTGTATGAAGAACGTATTTCAGCATTTGACTCAATGACAAATTGCATTTGCTGGCAAGGTCATTGTATCGACCATTGAACGTACGAAATGACGACTTTAAACGAAACTGCTTTATTCTTGTTTCATCAACTTGCTTGTCAATTATTTACCTCGTTTTAGAAATTCTTCATAAATTGAACATGCTCTTGCGTATCGAATCAATTGAGATATATATACTCCGTATGCAGGTGATGAACGTATATTGCTGTATAAGTAAGGTACGTTGACGATAAAAAAGTCAAAGTCATCACGTTTGTCATATAGCTTGGTTGTTAGATTACCATTAGCGTCTTTTTGAAGTAAAATATCCAAGTATGAAACAGATGTGAAAGACTTCGTTGTATCTTTAATCTTAAGCCTACCAGGATATTTCGTGTCGACGTAGGAATAGAAAGTACTATTGTTAATTGACAATACGTCGTCGATATATCTAAATGTCGAGTTGAAGGTCACGCATAAGAGTTTGCGCAAATTATACTTCATATGATTATGAAAATAGGTCTGCTTATAACGGAACGCAATTTGTACCCATGGAAATTTCAATAGGTTGTTGGAAGACATGGTCTCCAAAAGCCACATAGATATTGTCAATCAGAAATTGAAGCATCTCTTTGATGTCAACTTCAGAGTGTGTGGAATCAGTATGTGTTTTAACAAAATAATTTTGTAATGACCAATGACCAGGTAAGAACATTTACAATTTCCATTTATTTTGAAAAAGCAGCTGTCAAAAATATCAAAAAGCCTGGACTTTAATTTATCATTGAAAATGACTGTGTATAAATCTGAAAAGTCGTAATTTTAAAAGCTGTTGTATTTGGTAAAATCTTGAGATTTCAAATTGTCTAAAAGTTATTTGGAATTTTTGAGTAGCCACATCTGATTCACACCACTTCTTGAATATACGTATTGTTGCACAGTGCTCTTGAAGTTTTTCCTTCACTTCTGTCAAAATCTTAGTAAGGAGTAACAAAAGAAGATTGGTTTAGCATTGAATTGTAACCTGCAATGTATCTTGTTTGTAAGGATTTTTATGAAGTTTTGGAATTCCAATACATGTAGGGTAGTTTAAATCCATTTTGGCTCTGTGGAATATTAAAAATATCTAAAACTGACATATGATTTTGAAGAATTTCTTCCTTCGAAATGGTAATATGAATATAAGTTGGATTTCCATTTTAATTAAACCTAAGTTCTTCTTAAATAGAATTTATATAATGACCAGTGCGTACTGATCATGTAATCTATCTAATTCTTTTTTCACGTTTGGGTTATTGAACACAGAAGGATAGATTGTTTTCATATTGCCCCTCAATTTTTTAATAAGCGACTTTAACATGGATCTGATACATTTAATCCATTCTGACAAGGTGTCAAGTCTTCTTTTTCATATCTGGCCCATCGTATGTGATAATAATTATTTGCTTAAACAAATTCATGTTTACCCCATGCAAGTTGTAATGATCTGTTTGCTTCAAAAATAAATTCAACCAAAACATGTTGTGTTTGTTATCGATTCAGTCAACAAAGAAAATCATGATTGTTTATGCGCTCAATACCAATGTCTCTGCTGGGTTCATCATCGTTTGAAATTTACTGTGTTGCAGAGTTTAAGCGAAGCACTAAACTTTTGCGGTATCTTTGCGATCAAATTCGCGACTGAATCGCTATTCATTATAATTACAAATTAAAGAATACCTGAACACACTTTTAAGATCATTAATTCGTTACATAAATGGTTTCGTTTTATATATTGATAACAATTTAAACGCATGTTCTGAGAAAGCAGATGAAACTCTTGCCGATACAGTCAAGGTACTTATCATTTTACATTGATAGTAAAGTTGCCATGATATTTTGTCAATTTTCTTGATCGAATTAGCGAATTACAAAAAGAAACTTCAGAATAGTAAAATACTTTGAGTTGATTGAAAATTCAAAACAATTTATCTACATCAATTAAATGATTACGGTACAATGTTATGTTTCACTTACAGTGCCAACATAATTCTAGAGCCGTGGCTCTATAGAAAAGACATACATGTATTTATTTTTGTAAATTAAAACAATGTATTTTTAATGCAACTACCGATTAACAGTTACAAAATGGAGGTGAAAACAAATTATTTGTCTTTGTTTCTTTCATGCGAGGTTGTAGGAGATAATTGTTTATGCATGGCGAAGCCCTAATTACATGTAAGCCCTCTACCTTTTAGAATTGTTGAATGACAGTAGAACTATTTGATTAAAGTTTGAGTTAGAAGGAATTTGTACGGTTGAATTTTCTGATTTCATTTATATTATTATGTCGGCAAAGTTTTTACTGTGTCGCGCGCATAAAACTTGAATTGTGTTAGAGGAAGTTTTACTGTGTCGGGACCAAAACAGTAAAATAGCTCATGGAGAACCCTGGTCTTTGTGTTTTAATTCATTAGTAAACCAACCATAAACAGTTCGTATGCATTTAATCCACGCATTTAGACCGTATTTCTAGAATATTCTATGTACATAGGGGCGATGCTTAATTATAATTAAGATTACTGTTACTATCTCCATATCCTTCTTTAAAAATATCTCACAAATAAAGTCATGTTCTCATGCTGTGAAGAATAACATAAACTAATTCGATCCATTTTTTTGAAGATCCGTCACAAATTCGGTAGTAGGACCCTGAAGTTCGTGAAACACAACCTTTAATATTTACATTTCCAATAAATTTCACCTATGATTCTCTACAAAATAAAATGCAGTATATTTTCTCATAAACTACATTAGGTATGTATCACGAATAAGCATGAATACCTGCATTGTTACGTCATAATAGCGCTCTTGACGTCAAAAAGTAAAAAAAATATAGTGCACACTGTTTTGTTTTGAAAATGACAGTTGGACGGCGTAAATTTATGGCAAGTCATCAGAAAAATAATGCAAATATAAGAAATGAATTTAATTTTTTGAAGATTCATGAGGTATATGAACTACGACGCTTCACGCCGGCATATTTATCATGAAGCGCTAACGCGCTTCATGAAATATGCCGGCGTGAAGCGTCGTAGTTCATAACCTCATGAATCTTCAAAAAATAAATTCATTTCTTAAGAATTTTTAAAGATTATTATTCAAGCAGACTTTTTCGCTACGACTTGATATCTTTTCCCAAGAATATGATAATCAGTGGCCTCTGGAGTGTCTCTCATTTGTTTAAAAAATGTAATTTTAAAGGGTAAAACACTTAATAGGCTTTCAAATTCATAGAGAAAAGACCAAAGGAAAAATCATTTTTGCTTTAAAAAAAAATGTCTAAAATGAATCAAGATTTGCATTACTTGATTTCAAGTTTACGTAAATACGAGTCGAAAACTAGATCTTGCAAAAATATAAATAATCAAGGATAAAAATTAACTACATTCCTAGAAATCCATTCATTTTTTTTTTTGGAAAATTAAAAAGTACAACTCTAAGCTTGATTTCGTCTAAGTTATCTTTTCTAATCAAGAGCAAATGTATACTTTGCAACATCGTTATTAAAACTCTTATTTTATAAAAGTTATTTTCATAGTAGGTCCCTTTTTATCCCAGCAAATACTTAGAGAAGAAAAGGGGACTAAATCAATGAATTCCAATCTCAGAAAGGCAACAATTATTATTCTTTTAATGCTTTCTACTAGCTCAGCTATCCAGCTAAGTGCTGTATTAATAAAATTTAACAGACTATTTTGTAAGAGTCGATATGAATCTAGAATGCATTTTTATTCTTCATGAAGTTCAGAAACTGATAACCATGTTTACTATATAGTTACATATATGATTTATGACATTACCTGTGATCTTAGGATGTTAAGTTTTTTCTTCACAAGAAGATAATGCGATTTACCAAAGACTCTCCATTGCAGAATATCTAAGAGAAACAAGTTCGAATTAGAATTAGAATTTTTCTGTGAGGAACAGAAATTAAAAATTTGTTACA